TGGATTAAATATTCCTTCACTATCTTTAATAAGATCATTTTTTTCTTGTTCATCCAATTCAGGATCATTTAAAGCTTTTCTAATTCTTTCTTTTAAAATATAATTACTAATAAAAATATTAATTAATATTTTTCTAAATTAATTAAAAATAAATAAATTTCTTACCAATTAATATCTGAAATTTCAATCATTTTTTTTTTTTAATCATAAAAATACTTTATTTATTTCTTAAAAAGGTTATATTTATAAATAAATCTTATTATTTTATTTAATATCATAATCTTATTCATAATAAAGTACATAATTCTTAAAGTTTATATTTTTATTTATTTAAAATTATTTTTGAAACTTCTATCATTTGATCGATGTCTAATTTATTGAAAAAATCAATATACTCAAAATCAGGAATTTGAAGATTATTATTATTTTCTTCAATTATTTTTTCAATATTTGAAATATCATTAGAGATAGATTTTAAATCATTTTCATATTGTTTGTTTTGAATTTTTAATAAATCATATTTAATTCTTGGTTTTTTTATCAGAATATAATTTGCATTTTTTATAAAACGCATAATCGGATTTTGTCCAGAATTATCTTCAATAGGAATGATATATTGATTTCTTCTTCCACGACGATTTCCTATTTTTTTTTTTTTAATATTCTTTCTTCAAAATAATATACTTAAATAAATTTGATAATTAATAATAAATATATTTATTATTAAATAATCATTATTTTATAAATAAACAATAATATCCGTCTGGTATTTAAAAAAATGGATTTTGAAAATAAAATAAAAGAATTAGAAGAAATAATTGATCAATTAGAAAAAGAAAAAAATAATAATAGAATTGATTTACTCAATGAAAGAAGTAATAGACGAAAAATACAAAGAGAAAAGGAAATTTTAGAAAGAAAAATTGAAAAAATAGAATCGAATAAAAGTTTTAATCAAATGGATGCTATTACCTTTTTTAATTATCAAAATTTCACAAATGATAATGAGGTATTAAATATTCATCATTTTATCAATAATAAAAATTATGTTTTTAAATTTATCAAAGAATCATAAAGTATTAAAATGAAAATATTTGATGATGAAGAAATTATCGAATTACAAAAAGCTTATAATGTGGGATATTCCTTTTCTTTTATCAGTAAAGAAAAAACATTTTTTTTACATCAAAGTGATTATATTTCATTAAATAATGATATTAAAATAGCAAAAATTTATTATCATGATATTATTATTTTCGAAACAAATAATTTATTAAAAGAATTTGTTTAAAGTTTTGTAAAATATTAAGATTAAATAAAATATTTTTTATTATAAATAGACTTATTATTTATCAAATTGACACAAAAACTATAATATGAGTGAAATTTATTATATACCTCCTGGATATCAACCAGTTGTTATTGTTAATACT